GAGAGAGAGAGAGAGAGAGAGAGAGAGAGAGAGAGAGAGAGAGAGAGAGAGAGAGAGAGAGAGAGAGAGAGAGATCCGCGCGCGCGCGCAAGAGAGTCTCAATGCGATTGGATGAAGACGCGCTCGTTGCGTGAAGATAAAATTCGGAAAGAGAGAGAAATCCGCGCGCGCAAGAGAGAGACAGAGAGAGAGAAAGAGAGAGAGAGACAAAGAGAGAAACAATGTCTGCACTCCGTCAACATTGGGAAGGATCCGACACAGATCGACGATGAAGAGAGCAGAGTTACGACGCGACAATTCGATTTCCAGCATGGCCGAAAGAGGTGAGACCAGCGTTGCTGTTTTTTTTTTCTGTTCCTTTTTTTTTTACTCAGAGCTTCAAATGTATAATGGATCTTTTGTGCTTACACACATAAACACAGAGAGACAGAATGGCAATTAATGCTTACACACATAAACACAGAGAGACAGAATGGAAATTATTGCTGAATCTCTGTGTGTTCACACTCATATTTGATTTGTTGCAAATCACCTCCGCAATTTTCGGACATTCCTAGCTTTCTTCCCCTGAAAAAGTGCAGCTGAGCATTGTATTAGAGAAGATGCACGAGCTTCACATTTTGGTTCTCGATTAGAACTCACAAAATCTAGACCTGCTTACCATGACCCTCGTTGCTGCATAGAGAGAGATCATGGGAACTGGTGGGAATCCGCATAGACAGCGAGCGAGCGAGCGAGAGAGAGAGAGAGAGAGAGAGAGAGAGAGAGAGAGAGAGAGAGAGAGCATGACGGCTGGCGGAGATGCAGTTCAATGTATATATCGGCTAACCAGGATCTGCTGTCAGAGGTTTGAGTGTGACGATGGGAAATGGGGGTGGACATAACGTGGATGTGAAAACAAAGGGATCCTGAGTCCTGAAGTCGTTGTCGTGAACTCAGGAAGTCGGGAAATGGGGGTCGACGTAAGGTGGATGTGAAACAGGGATCCTGGTGGAGGAGAGGATCTAGAAAACACGGAGAGGACATGGGGGTCAGAAGTCATGCTCGGGATAATAGAGAGAGAGAAAAGAGAGAGAGAGAGAGAGAGAAAAAGGAACCGTACCAGCTCCCAGGGATCCTGTCTTGGAGCTGACGTGGCAATCAAATTTTGTTATTGCATGTTGAAAAATATTCTGAAATGACTGTGACACGTCATCACTGTTTCCACACTTTGTCGAGTTTTTTGTCAAGTGTTTGAAAAATATTCTGAAACGACCGTGCCACGTCATCACTGTTTCCACGCTATCTTTTTCCTCCGATTTTTTTTTTTTTTTTTGAAGTTCCGTCCACCCATCAGAATGTGAAGAGAAATCGAGATAAGGGAGGGGGGAAACGACGGTGCCACGTCATCACTGTTTCCACGCTATCTTTTTCCTCCGATTTTTTTTTATTTTTTTTTCCGTTGCGACAAGCCTGCATATGATATTAGGGCACCAAAGTGACCACGAGCATCATGACACTCTGACATCATAAGTGTTCTCAGCTTGCAGTCTTGGGGAATGCATAGGTGTTCCTCACCCTTGCTGCAGGGGTACAACAGATCTGAAACCAGTGTGTATCCTGGTTCAGAGCCAGGATCATCCTAAAGATTCCTCACTATAGGCCCAAAAATCGCATCCTGGGGCAGCAAACGAGCAATGGTTTGACAAGTCTTCTCTCCAAATGAGTAAGGGAGATCAGAAAGAGAGCGTCAGGCCTACGGGAAAGGGCATCTGCTACACGATTGTAGCAACCCTTCTTGTGCTTCAGTTCAAAATCAAACAGGTCAATGAACTGAATATAGCGAGCAAGCTTGTCGTTCAGTTCTCGCTGGGACTTTATCCATTGGAGGGTGGAGTGATCTGAAAAGATATTGAAGTGTTTGCCCAGGAGGACAATGCTTGAGCGCTGACACAACAACATAAAGCTCTTTCTCATAGGCAGAGTCCTGCAACTTCTGTGTTTTGATCTTCTTACTCATGTATTCGACAGGCTGCAGACCATTCCCATCATCCTGCTGAAGTAGTATCGCCCCTACACCATACTGACTAGCATCAGTAGTGAGCACAAAAGGCGAAGTAGGGTCAGGTAACTTCAGAACAGGGGTACGAATCAAGGCCTCCTTGAGACGTGTGAAAGCCTCCTGACACTGATACTTGCAGGATACAGTCTTGGACTGATCAATAGTGATTACAATTTAGACAGAGTGACCAATGAGTGACAAACAGATTTCCACTGATGACCAAGGTGCAACGATTTACAGGGTACCCTATTTTTAGACATGCCCTACAAACTTCACCACTGTATGACCCTGTATGCCATATTTAGGGTATGGTGAATGACAGTAATCACTGTAACTGACTCAATACATCAAATCTGATTGTGCGATTTCAGATACAGGTTGTACACTAAATTGTGATTTACAGGGATTGGTGTAATTGAATTCTTACGGGCAGAATTGAAGTTATGACTGACCCTAGTCTAGCCAAGCTTCAGCTATGGCAGCGCAGAATTCAAATTTGCATTATCATTGACAATAGGACCCTGAACAACTCAATTCTCAGTACAAAATGAATCGCGATACTGTAAGGCAGTTAGTGCCAGTCACAAATGAAATTTGAGTTAGGAAGGAGGTCAAACAGGGTTAGCAGAAGTCAGAGAAGATAGGTAGGGGAAATTGGCTATGGCTG